GTATTTTGGATCCTGAAATATTGGGATTTCTTAGACGCTGAGAAACAGGATTGGAAGTAATTGAAACTGTGGTTTAAGTGGCCGCCAGCTTCAGAAACATCTGGGTGTTTAATAAAAACTAGAGAATCCCTTTGAATCAGAAACCAGGTGAGCTTAGAAATCTGCATTTTAAGGTAACCTTCTCAGGTTGACTTTGAGGCACACTTGACTTTGACAGTGACTGACTTGTGAGGTCAATGGAACAGAATCTTAGGAATGGAGGACTGGACAGAATATTAAGGATTTAAAATTTTGGCTTTCTGCTTCATTGCCCTTCTGTGCTTTTCCCTCAAACTTTCCCTTCCACTTATTTACTTGCCATGATATTGATCACACGTTTCAGGGTCTGCAGATGGGTTAGAGGTGTTGTGTGGCAGAGTTATTTAGAGTAGATACACGATGGGGGTTGGTGAAGAAAACATTTGCATTCTTGACTTTCCCCATCTCAAGCCCCTCTTCTGCATTTTAGAACAAGGGTTCTGAGTCTCTGGTCCATGGATAATTTTAGGGTGTTCACAGAGCTTCTGGAGACTAGGCTTCCAACTTTGTATTAGTACATTCAAGAATGTTCTGTGGAAGTCTCTATGGCTTTCTAATTATGTCAAGGTGGTTTCTGATCCCGAGAAATATCAAAAACCACCACCTCAGAGACTCGTTTTTTTCAGGGACCAAGGTCTATTCACACAGATTCTTTGGGAAGAACTTGGACACAGTTTGCTTCTAGTTCCATCTTTTAGTGCATTGGAACTCTAAAAGCCCCAGCAGCCAGCCCAACACCTTTCCTGTGTCTTGAGATTATGGAAATATGAAAGGAATTTGCTTTGCTGAGTAATTTTGAGTAACTTGAGCTGTGTATTTGGGGGAAAAGAGAAAAATCTATCAAGCAGTCCTGTGCCCTGCCCTATGGCACAGACAACGTTTCTCCAACCCACATGCCCCCCAAATTGAAATCACTGTTACCCTAAGGACAGCGTGTGGTCCAGGAAGGGGCATGCCTGATTTTAGAAAGCCAGACTCATCGCTGGGGCGATCTTTAATAGAAGTCTTGGTTGAACAATGGTTTTTACCCCAGAGTGTGATCACAGCTGTTTTATTTTAGCTAATGCAGCAATTCAAGCAATTAAATCCACATTCCACTGTGGCTATTTAATTTCACGTAGTTCTCCGCGCATTGTCATGAAAGTATTCTTTGAGACTTGCAAAGTCAAAACAGAATGTAGACGTTTTTTTCTTCTAAAATAGCCACACTTGCTTCTTCAAGTTGTCTTTTCTTGGTTGATGTCTCGTAAGGATGTCAACTTTTAATCTCTAGGAGTTGAGTTCCATTGGGAGACATGAGATTTATTATTCAGAGTCTATAGAATAAGTATCATGGCAAATCACAGTCCAGGATAAAGAGGAGGACCTGTTCCTTTTAGCAACAAAATAACTTAAATCAGGGAGTTCATGTTGAAATCTGATATTGTTATAAAATTAAATAAGATGATTATCTCCTGGTTATAACATTATATATGAATAAAAGATTTGATGTTTTTATTGTGTGACTCCCCTTTCCTTATGATTATATATTGTGTAATTATTTTATTCAATCATTCAACAGATATTCATTGAGTTGCTACTATGTGTCAGGAATGGTGAACAAGATGGACACAGTTCTTGGCCTCGTTCCATTTTTATCCTTTCTGGAAAGACCGACAAGGAGCCAGGAAATTTAGAAAATGAATACAAGAATTGGAGATTGTGGTACATGTCAAGAAGGAAATAAAAAGGGGGTGAAATAGGAATGAACTGGGAAAGGAGGTTACTTTAATTTAAAAAAAAAATACAACCATAGAAGCTCCGTCTACAGATGGTATATTTAAGCCGATGCTTAAAGGAAAGATGATTTAAAGGAAAGGTTTGTATATTTATAGGAATAGGGGAAGGGCATCACAGGCAGAGGGAATTGGCAAGGGCTTGAGATGGGAAAGAGCTTGGAGCTTGGTGTGTTTGAAGAACTGCAGGGTGAGCGAAGTGGCTGGAGCACAGTGAGTGAGATGAGTGTGGAGGGAAAGTGATTATTCCTGCTCTTGCCTTGTTGAAATGTGATTACACTGTTGGGTCTGAACTTACAGTGGCATAGTCACTGCCATTTTGCTTGCCACTGCCTGGGGGTAAGGTGTGCCCTTTCCAGCAGAACTCAGGATGAGCTGTACTGAGATCATGGCGCTTGGGGTGTTATGAACTAAATGTTTGTGTCCCTCCGCACCCCCCCCCCCGCCATAGTCATATATTGAAGCCCAAATCTGCAACATGATGGTATTTGGAGGCGGGACCTTTGGAAAGTAATTAGGTCATGAGAGTGGAGCCCCCATGAATGGGATTAATGCTCTTCAAAGAAGCAACAGGAGAGACATGCTGTCTCTTTCCCTCCCTCCCTCTCTCTCTCTCTCTCTCTCAGTCATGTGAAGATACAGGGAGATGCTGGGTGGTCTATAAACTAGGAAGAGGATCCTCACCAAGCTCCCGACCATGCTGGCACCCTGATCTCAGCCTTCCAGCCTTCAGAACTGTGGGAAATAATTGTCTGTTGTTTAAACCATCCAGCCTATGGTGTTCTGCTGTAGCAGCCTGAGCTGCCTAAGACGTAGGAGTGAAAAGTACTGCGGTGCTTTAACAAGGGAGCAAATTGAGTGAGTGTTTCTGCTTAGCTGTACTGAGAACAGCAACCAACCTGCAGCGTTCACAAAGTCAGAATCTAACCAAGATGCTCCAGCCCTTTGAGCTAAACAGGAGCCTATACCAGGGAAATCTGACGACATTACAGGGTTTATTATTGTTATATTGATCTCCTATTTTGCCTACTCTTAAATAGAAAGAGAAATGACCTAACTTTGGTAGCCAGCCTCAAGTGTGCTAAAGGGAAGACATGAAGGGTTCCCACTCTAAGACTTGGGCTAAGGAATAAAGGGGCAGCAGGAATCAGGGAGAAGAAGGGGAGGAGAGAAAGATAATAAAGTCTGCTCAGGACTTCCGTGATGGTGCAGTGGTTGAGAATCCGCCTGCCAATGCAGGGGACAGGGGTTCGAGCCCTGGGCCAGGACGATCCCACATGCCACGGAGCAACTAAGCCTGTGCACCACAACTACTGTGCCTGCGCTCTAGAGCCCGTGAGCCACAACTACTGAAACTCCCGTGCCGCAACTACTGAAGCCCGCGCGCCTAGAGTCCGTGCTCCGCAACAGGAGAAGACACTGCAATGAGAAGCCCACACACTGCAAAGAAGAGTAGCCCCTGCTCGCCGCGACTAGAGAAAAGCCCGTGCGCAGCAACGAAGACTCAATGCAGCCAGAAATAAATAAATAAATTTATTTATTTAAATAAATAAAGTCTGCTCAGTCAGCTTCCCTTCTCTTCTTCAAGTGAGTCGGTTATTACTTAATTTATCAAGAAGATCTGAAAATATTGGGATTGGGCTTTATCCTGCCCATTCAGTTATTTTCACGGAGCTCCTACTCTGTGCGAAGTCCCGTGAGAGATAACTTTGGAGATGCTAGCGCGATTTACATACTGACTGTCGCCTCTAGGAGCTTGAAAATGTTGGGGACAGTCGCCATGTCCACGAATAAGGGCCACGATAACTCAGAGCAGGGACACATTGTTTCTGGAGGGAGGAATCTCGAATGGTTGTATGAAGGAGGAGAAATATAAGTCAGGATTCGAATTATCGGTGGGATTTGGGTGATGGATATGAGAGCGGGAAGGAGTCTCGGGCACAGAGAACCTTGTCGTAGACAAGGCAAGTGGGACTGCATCGTAGGGCTTCGTAAGTATTGCCTGGAGGGCCTGTTAAAAATGAAGGTGGTCAGGAACCATCCAGAGAAATTCTGATTAACAAGGCCAGGGTGGGGCTTAAGGATGTGAATTTTAAGGACATGTCACGTGAATCTGATGCAGAGCGTCCAAGGACCACCCCTGGAGGAAACCTGGTCTAGAGGAGAGCCGGTGAACCCCAGAGGTAGCAGTATTTGTTGAAGGGCATTCCTGTAGAATAAACTTGGGAAGGTTGGTAGGAGCCATGCACACAGAAGGTCTTAAATGCTAAGTGCTTTGTTTTGCCACATAGCTACCTTTTTTTTTCTTGAGCAGTCACTATGAACTAGATCCTCAAAAGAACATTGTAAGAAACTTATGTTAGTCCGATGTAAGATGAAGACCCCTCACCTTAGATGAGGGTAAGTGACATGTTCGTTTCCCCAAACAGTAAGTGGCAACACTGGGAATCAAACCCAGGTGGTTCAGTAGGTAATGGGTAATGGGGTCAACGTGATTAGAAATGAGATTGAGAACAATCGTTGGCTACATGATGAAACAGAAGAAATTGATGGTGGAGTGTCTCCTGAAACGGCGCAGACCAGGGTTAGGTACAAAAGACCTGCCCAGTGGAAGAGAGGGGAGATGTCGCAAGAATTCCTGGAACGTTTTGGGCGCTTGTATCGCACGGGGTGGAGTGGACCCATCGCACTTCTCAGTCACTCACGATTTCATCAAGTTGGCAGAGGCCTTGCATGGCCACTTCCGCAAACCATGTCCCTCTGGGACTCAGAGTACGTGGGTGTTGTCAGCACTGTTGGTGATGTGCTGACCTCCAAGCCTCTCTGGCACACGGAGGAGCAGTAAATTGTTAAGATGAAGGTGTTGAAGTCAGATGTCTTGGGTTCAAATTCTGACACTTCACTGCCTGAATGACCCTGGGCTAGTTTATTTCATCTCTTTGTGCCTCCGTTTTCTCATCTGTAAAATGGAGAGGTAATATTGGCATCTTCAAGCAACAGATATGGGATTGAAATGAAATAACATATAAGAAAGGCTTAGAATCACTTCTGGCACAGAATAAACACTTACTATATGCTAGGATTTACTCATGTTGCTACTATTTTTGCTATTTTATTTTTGACTTTTGTTTTCGTGCTTTCAGCTTCCAGGCATTGTGACTCTTGGACACGCCTGTCGCTAACTTGTCAAGCCGCGGGCTTATTTGTTCAGCACTGAGAGAAGTTTCCGTATCAAGAGCCTGCCTCTGAGGGAACGGACTGTGGACAGTGGTCAAGGAGAAATTCCTCTTCTGATTAGTTTTATTGCCCCTGTGACATCTGAGGAGTATGAAGTAGGCTGGTAATTCAGTCCTAGAAGGAAATTGGAATATTAAAGAAACAGCTTATTGTTGCAATCCCATCAAACTTGCCTCTTCCAGTGGCAGTGAGAAGCTCCATTGCGGGTAAGGTTTCCTTCTTACAAAGTGAGCAACACCCTGCTAAAGGGGAGGGAGTGTCTTCTCTTCTGAATCCTTTTCCCTGGCGCTCTGTGACTGTTATGTCGGTAACTTTTATATATGATTCACATTCGTTTAATGACTGTAGGATTGATATGTTTTCCCCACGCTGGGCAATGAAACCAGTTATATTTGTTGACTCTCATTAGACTTCTTATTTATGTATAGAGAATTGGGGCCACTGACCACATAAATCATGGCCATCCCAAGAAGTCTGATGTAAAGAAAATAAGCTGAATTATTTGAAGAGCACCTTCGCGGCTTACAGTTCTCAGAGAAAGCTAAATGTAAGGTGGGAGCAAAAATATGTGCCTGAGACGTGTATTTACAACTTGGGGAAGAAGAATCCAGGAGGGAAGAGGAAGTACAAAAACTATGGGCCCGTAGCCAAAACGGAGTTGATACATTTGAGGAACTGGGAGGCATTTGCGTGTAGTAGACAAAGGGCAGCGGGCTGTGAGGGAGCAGAGAAACTTCAGGAACCAAGGTGTATAAAGCTGGGACAGCCATGGTTTCATTTGGAATATAGTTGAAGCTGTGGAACATTTCTAAGCAAGACTGTAAGATATTATGACTTACATCTTTTAAAAATTCACTCTGGGGCTTCCCTGGTGGCGCAGTGGTTGAGAGTCCGCCTGCCGATGCGGGGGACGCGGGTTCGCACCCCGGTCCGGGAAGATCCCACGTGCCGCGGAGCGGCTGGGCCCGTGAGCCATGGCCGCTGAGCCTGCGCGTCCGGAGCCTGTGCTCCGCAACGGGAGAGGCCACGACAGTGAGAGCCCCGCGTACCGCAAAAAAAAAAATCACTCTGGGGTCTGGTAGAGAATAGGTTCTAGAGGACAAAAGTAGAGGCAGAAGTCGGTTAGGAGGCTATGCTGTCAGGCTGTGAGTTAGAGTAGATACTCAGTGAATTGTGTAAAAATACTACATAATTCATTCTCCTAACATGCTTGAGTTGAAGAAAACGATGGATTACTCTGAAGTTAGTTGAAAATAAGTCATTGCTACCCCTGGAGAGTTACAGACTCTTCTTGAACTTCAAGATTTCTGAAGATTAGCTTGTGGCGTCATCAGCTCTTATGCCTGTGCGTGGGTGTGTCAGCTTCTGCACACCTTGGTCTGTGCAAACGGACAGCACTGCAGAACAGAGCACACTGACGAAAGGGAGAAGCTTGGTGTCTTAAAGAAAGGAGCCTTCTGTCAGTTGAAGGCCATTTATTCAAAAAATAATTAACCCAGAGGTACAAAGAGGTACAAAGTCCAGTGGAAGAGGGGGTGGGAAACTGGAGAAATGAAAACAAGTCCTGAGGTGTCATGGCTCCCAGCAGGAGCTGAACCAGGTGCTGGGGGGGGAGTGAGGACAGCAGGGCACACACTTCTTCAGGGTAGCTGGATCCATCTTGTGCGAGACTCACTTAAGTCATGGACACGACCCACCCCAAGGGGACTACTTAGCATCAGGCGGCCTAAGCTAATTTGCAAACTCCTGACATTCTTAGAGTAATTGCAAGCCAATTTGGCCAAGGGCAAATGACTGCCAATGGTGAAGTCATTTTGCAGAATTTTCCTTGCTTACCCAAATCCTACAGCTGAAGGAAATAAGAGAAATTTAAGCAGTATATTGGACTCCCAGAGCAAAAGTCCTAAGGTAGAAAATGAACACCAACTTACAGAACCTTAGCCCTTTTCAGAAACCCATGGATTTAATGAATTCCAGCTTCTCTCCCCAGCTGACCCCAGTTTTCTTCCCTTCATTCCAGGCCTGGGGCTGCGAATCAGGTTTTTTAAAGTGTAGCTGAGCCTGCTTGTTGCCCACAGGCAAAGAAGCTCTGGTCGATGGAGAGGAGTTATAAGGAGGTCTGTTTTAGCTCAGAATTGGGGCAAAAAATGTTTTAGTAACCATAGCTGCCCCACAGTGGACAGACTGCCTTGTGAAATAATAATAATAAGAGGTTAACATTTATTGAGCATATACTATGCGTCAGACACTAAGTGCTTCACGTGCATTATTTTATTTGGTCCACAGCATAGCTCGTTTTGCAGATGAAGAAACTATAGAAGGATGAAAGTTATGTGTCTGAGGTCACGTAATTATTCTACATCTTATCCCTGGGGTGGGGTTGGTAAACAGAGACTGCACGTTTGAAAGAATGAATGAAGGAATGAATTTAATTAAGTTCCAGAAATAGGTTTTGAAAAGCTACTCTGTGCCAGGCATAGTGTTAGGCATTTGGGAGTAAACAAAGACCAAGATGATCTAGATGATGGCTGGAAGATCTTTCCAGACTAAGAGGAACGATTTAGGAGGTACTTTAGAATTTATAAAATTAAACATTTACAAAATTCCCAAAAATGTGGTGACAGCATTTGGTTGCATTTTCAGGTGGAGATGGATTTAGGAAAGACTTCCTGCATGAAAATGGCATTTCAACTGGACATAGAAAGATCATCTGGAGGGAAGTTGGAGACAGCTTGGGGACCGAGGAGTATTCCAAAGTATGGCATTTACCTTTTATTCATGTAATTCATAAAATTCATACATTTTATTCCTGAGTGTGAGGAATTCATGAGTGCTTTTTCTAGGAGGGGGTGATCTGAAAGTACCGAGAATGATCTGCTAGCTAGAAATGAAGAGATTTGGTTAAAAGCAAGAGTGACGGTCAGAGGCCAGTTCGATGTCCAGGAGAGTGGGAACAAGACCCTGGGTAGGAGTGATACGAGTTGGAGGAGAGGGGCAGGCGGCTGGAAGAAAGCTTTTAGAGGTAGCATCAGTGAGTCGGAAGTAGGCAGACTGACAAGGAAGACGGAACCAATGAAACCGATTAACTTGGAGGATGGTGGTACCATAAGTTAGGGACAGGAGACACTTTGGGGCCCTGAAGTCTGGGAGAAAGAAAAAGGAAGGAAAATTTGATCATGGATTCACCACGAGCATGAGAAACACTTCTCTTGCTTCCCTGCTTTCCAACCATGGTGGGGGGGGTGGGGTGTTGCTGATTGCTGTGTCCTAGCAGTCTGTGTAGCCAACTAGCATGTGTTAACTATACCACGTATTTCCCAGGTACCACCGATGCCATGAACAAGACAACTTCAATCCTTGCCCCCCTGGATTGCCCAAGTAACTATTAGCAGATGACAATTGCAGTAAAATCTTTGAAGGAAGGGTGTTAGCTTGAACAAGGCTTTGGCTAGGATTCCGTGAGAAATGCAGTTCCAGCTGATACCTGAATGGTAATGATGCCTGGAATACACGTTTTAACTCACATACTCTGTTTTCTTGTGATTGGAATAAAAAGCAAAAGATGTGGGCACTTGAAGCTGCTTGGACCTGCACTCCAACTTTCGATGAAATCCTCAATGCAGGCATAAAAGGTCTCATTGGTGGGAGGTGCTGACCACGTCTGTCTTCAATGTCTGCCCTTCCTTCTGTTGGCTGGACCCACTACCTTGTCAGTTGGCCTTAGGTTGCCTGGGTTATTCTTAAATTAAATTCTGAAAACACGCTTCATTTTCTCCGAAGCAGTGACTTGGGGGAGACCAGAAATGATGCTGTGGTCAGAGAATGACACTGGAATGTAGGACTGAGGGCTGAGACTCTGGCTGGAGATCACTCAGCCTGCCCACAAATCTAAAAATGCACAGTTTGACTGTGATGCTGGAAAATATCTCCTCATGTGTTGGCTTCTGCCAACAGAAAAGAGAAAGCCCAAATCACGGATGGCAGCAATATTATTAATTCAGGAATCTTAGTGCTCCAGCCTCGCTCATTTTGCCCTAATGATTAAAAAAAAAATCATTTCACAGTGAATTTGTCCTGTGCAGGTTAGTGAGAAAAGGGGAGGAAAAAGGGAAGGAAGGAGGCAGAAGGATAGACTGAGGACACTCTCTGGGGACCCTTCAGAAATACCGTGGCCCCTCCTGGGGCACCAGGCTGAAGTGGATTTGAAGGCTTATCCGTCTGTACCACTTCTGTCATCTTTCCTGGGATGTAGCCTTGCCGGTTTTGTTGTCGGATGCCTTTTCCTCGTGGTGGAAGTGTGTGCCAAGGTTGATCCAAGGGGCTTGGAACTGGGCTGAGCTTTTCATCCCCACGATCAAAACATCTCAGCACCCTTCAGTTTTCTTATTGTAGAAAACAAAAGCACATTTTTGCCTGTAGAGATCATTGGACCCACAAAGGGGTATTCAGTCTAGTATCAATCCGATAACATACCAGCCACCGGGGGGGAAAGGGCAATGTTCATATCGAATTCTTCTTGGTTTTCCTTTGTTCATGTATGATCTAGAATTGCTGAGATCTTCCAGGTATCTTTCATTGCAAGTTCTTTTTACAGGTGACATGTGTCTTCATTCATTACCTGAGCACCTGCTGGATGCATGGTAATGGGTTGGGTCTGGTGAGCAATACAAGGTTAGCAGACATACGTTTCTTCCAAGACTATGAGTTTCTTGAGGGCAGGAAGCAAGGTGAACATAAATCCTTCTTTAGGAGGTTAAGATGTGGAGGTTATTATAACAACAGAAGACCTTTGTTGTTATCCTGTCATTTGGCAAGCACTGTGCTATGCTAGGCTCTGGGGACCTCTGCTTTGTCATCAGAGAAATCGCTGTTAAAGCTCTCTGGGGCTTGGGGAGCAAGAATTCACTCCTGGCTAGAGAATGGGAGAGAGTTCCTTGGAGGTGGTGCAACAGAGCTGAGTCTGAAAGAACAAGAAATGGTTTTTATAGGCAGAGAGGGTGGGGTGCGGGATTTGAAGCTGGGGAGATGGCCAGGGTGAAAATAGGGAGGCACCTGGCTGGGAGGAACCTTTACAGAGAGCGGTGGTCATGTATCTTATAGGTATGACTGCCTCTGTTTTAAAAAATCTTTTATTAAAATAGCAATATAAAAACACATATAAATCACATGCACAGCTCAAGGAATGTTCATTAACTGGATACCCTCACGTAACCCACATCCAGATGATCAAGAAACAGAACACTAGAGGCCCCCGTCACTCAAGTTGCACTGCACACCTCAGGGTCAACTCTCTCCTGACTTTGCACAGCCCAGATTCGTCTCGCTTGTCTGTGAATATTATATAAGTGGAATCACACAGAGGGTTGTTTTTAGGCTTCTGTCTTCCTCGCTCCACGTCACACTGTGAGATTCACCCTGCTGTTGTGTGCAGTTGTGGTCTGTTCTCATCTGCTGCTGCATCGTATTCCGTGGCATAACTGTTCGACACTGTACTTAGCCACTGCACTCTTGTTGGCATTTGGGTTGTTTCCGCTTTGGGGAAATGATGAATACACTTCTGTGAGCGTTCCTGTATAATGTCTATGGGTGAACACATCGCCGCATTGCTGTTGAGTATATATCTAAGAATGGAATTTCTGGATTGTAGGATTGAAAATCCCCTTTTAATAACAAAAACTCCCATCTCATATGATTCTAATTATGCTTTTAATATTCCTGGGTTGGGAAATATACAATGATAAATACCTCCTGTGAATTCAATAACACTTTTGAATCAACTGGTATATTATCAGTCACAGAAGTAGATGTCCGTGATGTATGTTGTCTGCAGACAAGGTTCAATGTACATATGGATACACAGACCCCTTGCAATACCTCTGAGTACCCAGTTGGGAGCCACAGGCTTAGGTGAATCGTGGGGCGTGAGGCTAAGGAACAGTCGTCCGGTGAGTTCAGTGACGTTGCTGCTTCTCTGCGCCAAGCCTCTAGTCTTAAATCTAGTGGAATTTTTCCTTCTCTGTCTTTCTTTTTCCCTGAGAAAGCACATATGTGCGCCCCTAACTATACTACAACTAAGACATTATTAGGAAGATGGTGTGACCAAATGGAATGATGATGACTTTGGAGGGGGATCTGGGCTTGAACCCACAACCTGCCACTTATTAGTTGTGTGAAGAAGGTAAGGGATGAATTTTCTATGAGCCTCAGTATACTCATCTGTAAAATGGAAATGAGAATACCTACCTAGTATAAGGATCATGATAATCCAATCAGTGGCTATATTGTAAATGTCTAACACTTTGTCTTCTCCCTGGATGGTGACTGCAGCATTGTTTTCATCATCTTTTCCTACCTGTGTGTCTTCTCCTTGGGGTTAGGTTCTTCTAGGGGCACGTAGTACTCTTGTTTTGTCTCCTAACGCCTGCCCACCTCCTTATTATTCCCATAACTAAGGAGAAACATTTTTTTACTGAAGTATAGTTAATTTACAATGTTGTTAGTTTCAGGTGTACAGCAAAGTGATTCAGATATATAATACATACGTATGTGTTCTTTTTCAGATTCTTTTTCCATTTTAGGTTATTACAAAATATTGAATATAGTTCCCTGTGCCTGTTAATCTCAAACTCCTAATTTATCCCTCCTCCCCTTTCCCCTTTGGTAGCCATAAGTTTGTTTTCTGTGTCTGTGAGTCTATTTCTGTTTTGTAAGTAAGTTCATTTGTATCATTTTGTTTTAGATTCCACATACAAGTGGTATATGATATTTGTCTTTCTCTGTTCTAACTTACTTCACTTAGTATGATAATCTCTAGGTCCATCCATGTTGCTGCAAGTGGCATTATTTCACTCTTTTTTTATGGCTGAGTAGTATTCCATCGTATATATGTACCACATCTTTATCCATTCATCTGTTGATGGACATTTAGGTTGCTTCCATGTCTCGGCTATTGTAAATAATGCAGCTATGAACATTGGGGTGAATGTATCTTTTTGAATTAACATTTTCCCCAGATATATGCCCAGGAGTGGGATTGCTGGATCATATGGTAACTCTATTTTTAGTTTTTTAAGGAACCTCCACACTGTTCTCCATAGTGGCTGCATCAATTTACATTCCCACCAACACTGCAGGCGGGTTCCCTTTTCTAAGGAGAAACATTTTGATTGCTCAGCCCCATGTGCCCCAGGCATCTTTCCTTGTCATATCTAAACAAATAGTTTGTGTCCATGATCTATTTTCATTAGCCCTGCTGGTGGCCAGAGCGAATTTGATAAGTTCATTTTAGCCTGCATACCTGTGGTCGATTATGACTTCACCAGTTCCCCATCTCCCTAGACAGTTGCCTTCCATGTTTTAATCCAGAGAAAAGAATGGTGGACTTTTCAGTCCCATGGCAGGCTTCTGAGGGAGTCATTTTTGGTCAAAGGGGACCAAAAATGGTCCCCATCACTCTCTCAAAACATTCCCTGTAGGAGACCCCCTATGTAATCCACAGAGGGTGGTTTGCACCTGCAAGGTGATGAGCACTGTATTGTGTAGGTAGAATGTCCATGGAGAGATGCTTAGTGGGATGCTTGGGTGGAAATGGGGGGATGAGCTGGTGTTGCCATTAGCAGGAGCTCCACGGTGTGAGGTCAAGATGATAGAGAACAACATTTTCACATGGAATCTCCGCCCTTCAAAACAAAATCTGGTTTCAGAGCTAAGCTAGTGGAGAGTCAGATGGTCTGGTCATTTGTCTGGGATTGAGGTC